AGGTCTCTCTCCAGACAAACAGCAGCGGTGACAACATTGTCTTTTGTTATGAATCATGCTGATTATGATCTTACTTCTCATTTTAACCTTAGCCGCTTGACATAAAATCTACCTGCGATTTTCTAAACATCTAGACTGACCAAATATGTGACAAAAGGAGACATAAAATTGACATAAAGCTAACTAAAACATAAATGTCGCTTATCTTCTTTTAAATATGACTAACTGTAATGTAAAATATTTAATGCTACTTGATAAATTGCATGAAGTTTATTTTATTCTCAAACTTATTAATAATTATGTTTATTAATAATGCATACTGCTTAGGGATCTATTTTATTTTTAGGATGGTATTACAGAAGAGAAATTCAGGCATAGGTAATATTTGAAATTGAATTTATTCAATTCCCATTTGCTCATATGTCCTTAATTTTTTTCATTAATGTTCCTTAAAAGTACTTGATTTCCATGTGCAGAAATGTGTACGAACCCTGAAAATACCATTGATTCTTTTTTGTACATCCTTAAAATGATCCAAAATATTAAATTTCGTTTTGATAATAACAATGAGGTATTTCATCTTGTCATAATGAAATCGTTTAGCATTATATTTAAACCTAGAAGGGCAAATAACTCTACTACCCTGCGGGAAAAATACTGCATAAGTCTTTTCTAAATTAAATTCTATCTCGTCTTGCGAGCTCCAATTTTCCAATAGCTCCACCAAGTCAATAAATTTTCCAATTTCTCAACTGGTTTTTCATATAATAGAAATAAAAAGTCATCAGCATAACAAACAAAATCTGCATTTTTCAAGTCAGCATTGTATATTTATTAACTTATTGGTGATGAGGTCCCAGAGCAGGGGTGCAGAACATGAGCCTTGTGGGCATCCCTTGAACAATTGACGTTTAGTCAGTACTTTTGTTCAGTTTTATCCATAACTATGATCTATCAATTTTTTTAAAAATTTCTTAATACTGCAAGTAGATTATAAGGTATTTTCAAATCTTCTAATGCTCCAAGAAGGAAGCTCCATTTAACTGAGTCAAAAGCACCCCTAACATCGAATGAGATCGAGGGCCACATGATGTTCTTTTTGCTTCTTCCAGATTTCACTTATAACCTTATGTTGTTGTTGCTTATGCTCACTTTTCTGACGTAGTCAGTCCAAGCCCACAAAATTCCTTGTGGTGAGAAGCGCAAGATTTTGCCTGTCGTTGGCAACAGCCATGAACACCTGACAGATGACAGTGCGGTTTGGCTCAGTTCCGCCCCCAATTTTAATGGAGAACACCCTGGGGAGGGATGGGTCCAAGGGTCTCCCACTCCTGTCCTCTTCCACCAAATCACACGAGAGGACTTTCTGCTCGCTACATATTTAGAGTGCCCCGCCATGCCGCATTGTCACTATACATTTACAAACATCCACGCCTTCTCCGAGATTTGAACCGGGCCCATTCATCTACCCCTCATAAATCCATACTGATTATCAGGTACATTCCCAGTCATTTGTTGATAAAACATAGTTGTTTGTTGATAAAACAGTCATTTGTTGATAAACAGTCTTGTTGTAATTAGTTTATCATAGATCTTTTCCAAAATCTTCTGCAAGCATATTGGTCTCAAAAGTTCATTTTCTTTTGGAATGAAAACAATCCTTGTGATTTTCCAAATTTCCGGAAAAGGGCATAACGTAAACATTGATTGTAAAAATAATGAAAACAGAGGGATAGTCTTCAAATAATTGTTTTATCAATAAGGCCCCAATCGTGTCTAGTCTGTCCTTGCGATTTTCCACGTTTCCAGGAAAAGGGCATTGATTGTACAAAATAATGAAAACGGAGGGATAGTCTTCATATAATTGTTTTATTAATAAGGCCCTCAATCCCGTCGAGTCCGGGGGCGCATTTATATCATGAAACTATAGATCACTTCTAATACTTCATAGTAAGAAAATGGCTTTTCAAAAACCATGAACTCATCTATGTCATGATTAATATCTTCAGTAGGGTGTTGTATGTCTAATAAATCATTCAACATCTCCTTATAGCTTTCTGAAATGGTTCAATAATCTTCGTTATTTCTTTGTAAGAGCAATTTCTTTCTCATCGTATTTTTCGCCATTCTATGGGTCTTACCATAATTTTCAGTACTAAGCAGAAAACCGTGTATTTTAATACCTTTTTTTTCTTTTCGCTTTCTTAATATTCATATTGTATTTAGACAATTCACATTTATAAATAACTTTTCTCTTCAATCTCATGGCATCATCCAAAGTCGTAATCTGAAAGCTCTTACGAAATGCCTTTACTCTCCTTCTTTCAGAATCTAACCAGTCCATCAAGCAGAATGAAATTTACGACTGTATCCTTTATGAGAAATTATGAGTTTATTCATTTTCAATTTTAGTTTTTCTTCAAATTTTTCAATAACTTCATTTAGTTCATAACCGTTCTTTGAGTCCACAATGTGACTTTTTTAAATTCCAATATATCCTCTCTAAAATGTCGACTAAACTTTTAAATCTGATATTTATTTGTAGTAATACTCTTTTTCTCATTTTTCCTGTATTTCAATAATCAAAATTTATATATGTGTATTTATGGTCACTCAATTATTCTTCCTCTAAAACTTCCATACATACTTTATTAAAATTAGTGCCCAGTGCCAGTGACTATGGCTGTCCAACCCGCTCCCACCAGTGACATAAAAGTAGGAGAATCTTCTTTATTAACTAAAACCAAATCATGTATAATGAAGTCATTAAGTAAGAGAGACCTTGTGCGGCCACTTTATTTGCTCCCTAGTTATAACGTCTAGCATTAAAATCGCCAGCAGTAATAAAATCCTTGTACCTATTCTTTATCTCTTCCAGTCTGGCAAGATGAATATTCAGATCTTCAGCCGGTGAGAAGTAGGTGGACAAGACTCCAAATTCGTTGTCAGAGGTAATTACAGATATGGCAACAATATTATCTTCAACAACATCCATTATAAAACCTAAATTTCTATTTAAAAGATAAATAGCTGTCCTTCCAATGTGAGCATTTATTGTCCTCCACTCTGGATCCACATTTGCCAAATTCTTCACATAATGGGCCTCTTGTATAGATATCAAATCAATATCTCATTCTTAGACGCAAAATTCTCTTTACATATATATCATTCTTAAACCCAAAATTCTCTTTACCAGTTCCATCAGTCATTAATTTCCTTTTACAGTTCTTTAAATTTCATTCACTTGAGTATATCTAGTCTGAATAACATTAGCTTCAATTAAATTTAAATTATGTGACACTACCAAATCAGTAATGCGTTCTAAACATGTTGTCAATAGTCACAATAATTAACTTTGGAACTCCTTTCTTATATCTAGAAAGCTTTGCCACAAATCCATAGATATCCTGCACAGCGCTCAAAATTGCATCCCTAATTGAACCCAAAGTCTGATCCAATATTTCATCACTCAATCTATTACTCTTCTCCTATCACTTTGTTCTCCCCGATCTTATACTCTAAGGTTTGACTCTGTTTAATATCCATATCATCATCCTCTACTATTTTTTTATCCTCATTGATTTCCCTAGCTATATTATTCTCATTAACATACATCTCAGATTCCATAGTCTTATTTTTGGTATAAATTGTCATTAAAACATAACGAATGCGATAAAAACATCTCTCGCCCCATGCCCAGGCAATATATTTATAAAAGATCAAAACTTCATCATAAATGTCTCAGACGCAATCCAAAAGTTCTAAACAAGTTTTAAAACTGAATATCGTAAATTCCTTACATAAAGAATAATAATTCGCAAAATTTTCAGTTGAGAGAAAATAACGTTCAATAAAATATCTTATAAAAACACAATAATATAATTCAGTTGATAAAATCTCTTTCAAAATGCTCTTTGCAAATGTTCTCTTTCAAAATACTCATATATATTCAAATGTTTATAATTCATTTAAACATTTACATTTTATAAATAAATATGGGGAAAATAGGGCAATAAAAATCAAGCTTTAGGCGGCTTTCGTTTGTCTTGGTCAATTCAATAAATTCGGATATAATATTTGAATAAAATTGGTTACTTTCTTTATACAGTATTATGCTCATATCGCTACACACTGTGGGTTCCACAAGAATCCAGTATGAAGAAAAGAAATTTCCTTCAAAATATGAAAATTCCTTATACTTCTCGGACAGAAATAATTGTTAAAAAATGTGGTTCCTTGCAATTCCTGAGCTTGAATACTGAAAAAACAGTGTATAAAGTAACTATTCCATCGAATTGCCTAAAGGTGGTCCGACTTGCATGGCCAGAAAAGCTTCAAACCCAGATGCAGCAAAATGTAAACAATCCGATCTGGTTAGGCTTAAGTACCTTCCAGTTGAAGATGTTTGTAACTCTCCAAATAATCGCTGTCGATTCACAATACATCCCTCAAACAGCTTCAAATCACATATATATTAAATAATTACCAAAATATAATTATAAATTCAGAAGCTTACAAAACCACAGACAGCAATGGTGCCGGGCCTGCATAGAACCTCTATAGGCCAGTGTATTCTATCCCGCTAATCAAAACACAATCAAACGTTATATACACATATCACTGTCTACTTTAAATTCTCTACAAAGTAAAGTCCATGCCATTCAGAGAAATGACTTGAAGAGTTGAAAATCTGAGTGAGCAAGGTCTGATAAATCTGTGAAGTAGCACAAAACATTTCAGGCATACTCAATGACTGTTTTGGAGTAAGAAATGCTGTCTCTGCTTTAAGTGAGGTGCTATAACATTTTTAGATGATGTTCAGTGCTATCTGGTTAGGTGGTGACATTTTTATTTTTGTTTTCCTATATGCTTAAGTCCAAAGTGTCGTTAACTTTGTTTTCAGATGAGCATCCATTTTTTAAAATTCCGTGTGATGAAGTATCTTTATACAGAAGTAGGATCAGCTTCGGTAAGAGAATAAAAAACATTTTTCTTTTTAGTGTACGGGATTCCGATCTTTTACAAGATTTCATTTCTCTGGGAGAAGATGAGTGTGTTCTAGATTGTGAAGACTATGGCAGTAATATTGAAAGGTAAGAGTACCCCCTTTTTCTAATTATATACATGTGTATTTATTTTTGTATATAGTTAATCTTTGAACGTAAAGGTTTCTTGAAGCATACGGAATTTTAGCAATCATAAGTTTTTGTATGCGAAAATATGACAACTAACTAACGCTACGGTATCTTAACGCATTTTAAACAAGATTCTGATAGCATTGGTTTAAACACGAAGATTTTTAGAAAAAACAGCTCCGCTGGAAACAGTCCCGCATAGCTACGGAAACGATGTCCCGGCTACGCAGGATATTTCGAAACTTTGCCAAAAATATTCCGTTTGCAGCTCTGTCCCAGGTAGAGATCGGCTAATCAGACTAAAGTTCTGCTTCTAAAGGATCACGCGATCCCAATCTGAGCGATAATTGATTACTGTGTGGCGTTCAAGTCTGTTTAGTAAGTGTAAATGGCAACCTCTACGTAGGTTTCATGGAAATGTGTGGGTTCTGAGAAATGTCCCTTTTGATGTCCAGTCCCGTGTAGCTGAAGCACATGTGATAGGGACTTTATATACACATGGAAGATCAAGCTATCCTTTAGTTAACGATTGGATTGAAGCTATCATTTAATTAAAGCTAGTAGACCCATCGTGTAGTTATTGAACCACAAAAAGATGAAAAATGGCTGAAAAGTGATTCATAGGAATTGCAAAAATGTATTGACAGACCAAATGAAATCTGTCAATTAATTAAATACTAATATGTATTGTTTTCACAGGAACAGCTGACTGCCTTAAATTTCTTTCACGGGTTCTTGAATAAAAGCTCTTGGTTGTTATTTGATATGCAGAAAAACTTCCAGTGAAAATGTGATTGAGATTATGTTTGTTTCAAAGTTTTTACATAAAAATAGCAAATATATCCATTCATGCATAAGTGACCTAAGGAACATGTTCAAGAATATTTTAGCATAAAATCTGCTGTGTGCAGCATCACAAGACTGCGGGAGGATGCGTCTCCAGATACTGAGAATTGCTTGGCATAATTATGGCCAGCTATCATATATCATGGTAGGATGATGAAGATGATAGCCACGAATTTGAAGGCTTTCGGATATCGCAAACCAAGGGTGAAATTTTCCTATCAATGGATTTTGTAAAGAAATGTAGAGAAGTGATAATAAATGAAGATGATGTAACAAATTTTGTGTTGCAATGAAGCCCCAATCGTGAATCAGTTAACAAAGAGGGAAATCTGTAGTACAGTTCTAGATCCAGAAAATATCGCTACCAATATAGTGAAGGACATGATAGAGAGGTTATAGAAAACGAAAAGTTTTCGATTGATAACTTAATCAGAATGCTTGACACAGCAGTTACAGGACTTGAACAATGGATTTTTGTAACTGAACAAGAAATTATATCTGTCTATAGAATTAAAGAGAAAATATTAGCACAGAAAACGAAGCAACTTGAACAACTTACATTGAAAGAAATGTTTAATAAAGTAAACGAATAAATATTAGGCTTTTTTTGTCAATTTTGATACCCTTTAGATCATAAATGCTTCATTAGTCCATAAATCCGATTTCATATTTTTAATTTTATAATTTCTACATGCCATCTTCCTAGATTTAAACTGATGATCTAATATCTGAAATTCCCAAAGTCCCGACGAGTCCGGATCTCGGACCTCGGACTTTGTACTCTATTAATGAGTTGGTATACAGGCAGTTTTTTTTTAGCACAAGCAAAACTACAGTAGTTATGTTTCTGTATTTACTGATGGATCAAAAGCAGGTGGGTGGCAGGGGGTATCTCTTTCATTATTGAAGATCACATGGTAGGCAGATGATTGCCTGATGCTCAGTCTTCACATCGGAATTGACTGCTATTTATTGCGAGCTCTCATTCAAAGTGAGAGAAAGTTTATAATATATACCCACTATATTAGTGCCTTAAAAGCATTAGAAGCATTTTGTGATATCCAGAATCCTGTCATAGTTTTTTTTTTTAATGGCAGATTGTGAACAATTACAAATGTAACCTAGTCTATTAATTTATACAAGGCCGGATGTGGTGGTCTCTTTATTATGGAGGCATCTAATAGGTGGGCCACTATCGCCTTTCCTATGAAAGGACGGACAGTTATAACCATGCGCTCTCCGGGATTCAAACCCAGGCCCTTTGGCCCAGTTTCATAGTAGATGTCGTCATTCTCGATCTAAATTTAAGGTACTGTGGGTATGAGATCTTGTACTGTTGGATACCTGGGCATTTAGGCAGAAGAGGTAATGAGCTAGCAGATGCTACAGCAAAGTCGACTATCGATTTGTACAGTCGGGCTGGCCCTCCTGACGATATCGTCAGCGTTAACAAAAAGAAAGTATTAGATAAATGGCAGAAACACTGGGATGGTCGGGTAGATAATAAGCTAAGAAGTGTGAAAATTAGAATTGAATATTCGAATGCTGCTAGGAACTGGAAGGAGAAAGTCCAACTTACTCAAATTAGAATTGGTCACTCATGAATTACCCTCGAATAAAAGCAGATTGTGAACCGATTTGCCCCCACTGTAATGCTCAGTTCATCATTTTTTAATTAAGTGTCTGTATTTTAAAGACTTTGGTTAAAACATTTTAATGAATGTGACTAGCTTCTTTGGGCCAGAGGTGAATACTAATTTGTTTCACTACCTGAAAGAGGCAGTTTTTTGTTATTTAATTTGATTTTGTTTTGATGCTGTATGTTTGTGTCTTAATAATATCTATTTTAATATATTTCACGTTTTAGGATTTTACACCTGTTCAAACAGGGTTGCCATGCTACCTTGAAAACCGAAAAAAGTCAGGGAAATCGAAAATTGACCAAAAAAGTCAGGGAAAAATCAGGGAATTTAACAATTTTAGTCAAAATTTGAAAAAAATTAGGGAATTTCATAACGGCAATCCCCCCAAAACCGATTTTCGCACCAATGTTGACAGTGATCACGTTCTTGGGGAATTATGTATTGCGTGCTTGTCATTCGGGCAGCTGGCATAGAGCCAATTTTTGCGGCGCTAACCAGATTGTCTTTCAGAAAGGCAAAGAAAGTTTCCAGTATCTTTGTTTCCAGTAACCTCTTGAATTCAGGGGCTCGCACATCGAATCGTGCACATGTGGAACGGAAGAAAGAGATGAAGTTATGCCTCGTGGTTAAGAGAGCACGTTTTTCTGTTTTCAGTTAAAAAGTCTGGTAAGTTAAATTTTGTAATCTTTTACATCTTATTAATTTTTTTTAATGTATGTTTACGTAACACTCTATCGTATTTGCTTTTTAAAATGATAAGAATTCATGCAGTGCATTTTTAAAGTTAAAAGAAGTTTGTTGCTTTTTGAATCATATTATTGTGCAGTATTAAACAAATCAAATTGAACTGTTTAGCTTCTCAACCATCGTTGGTGTCATGTATATGATTATTGGACTTTGAAATGACGGACTTCTGATAATTATGCAAAAAAATTGACTTTGTTTTGTAATTGTATTAAAATTCGGTTTCTCCGTTGTTTCGATTTGTAAATAATTCTCATTTAAAATTTAATTTTGAGAAATAAACGACGATAAAACTTGTTGCCGAATTCAGAAACAAACAGTAAATATTAAAATGTTTGTCCCCTCTTTTTTTATACACTTCATGTTGTAAAAATCAGTAATCAATCCTGCTTTTGCTTGAAATTTCCAATTTTGCTGTGCCCTTCCTCCAAGCTCATACAAAACAAAATCTTTTAAACATTTTTTTTTTTTTTTTTATAAATGCCTTGTTATTTTGGAGTAAATTAAACAAAATAATAACAAGTTATCTTGACTAACCATTCAATATAACTATATTTGGCAAAATACCGTTAATTATTGTAATTCACTTTTTAATCTTCAATTAATTAACTTTATTTAAATGTTATTCATATCATTTAATGTTGCTTCTTCCTTCTAAATTTATTTATTATAAGTTAAAAATACTTTCAAATTTCAGGCAATTTTCTCTGGCATACTCGTGAAACTAATTCTGGCAGTATGATAACATACCATTACGAAATCTAGTGCACATATTTTTAACTTATGTGTGTTGCTAAATAAGTATAAAATACTTGAATTTATTTAAAAATATTAAATAGATTTCTTTAGATTTCTTTTTTTTAGCTGCAAAATATCTGAAAAAAGACATTTTTTAATCCAGGTTGGGCAGATTCTAGTCTCAATCCTCAGTGGAATCCATGGTTGCAACCTATCGAAATTAGCTCCTAACATGGCAAGATGCACGTTTTGCCAAAAAAATATCATGCTTAGTACCATGGGAAGGAAAGCAGTTACAAGCCACATAAACAGTGTAAAACATAAGAAAATCAGAAAAATTTTTGTGAAGATGAACTCTGAAAACTTAAAAAACTATTTCTCCATAGATAAAAGCAGTTCTGAAACACAGCAGTCTTCGGCACTAGTTGCTGAATCATCAAATTTAAACGCGTTCACACCTGAGGACAAAGTTTTTGCTGCGGATTACTATGAAATTTGTTTCTTCAGATGTTTTTCTTATAATGCATTTAATGCTGCTGCTGTTCTGTTCCAGAAAGTGTTTGATGACAGCAATAAAGCTAAAGCTATGACCCTGGGACATACAAAAATGTCATATTTAGTGTCATTTGGTTTAGCTCCATACTTCAAAAAGATGCTCATTTCTGATCTTAGAACACTGAATTTGTAATTTGCTTCAATGAAGCATTAAATAGAATTGTCCAGAGAGGCAAAATGGATCTTTTTGTTAGATTTTGGGACAGTGCGAGGAATGAATGAAGATACCTCACATCAATTTTTTTTGGGGACATGTATCTGCCAATGACCTTCTGAGAAGTTTCTTTGAGGGAACCTCAGAGCTAGATAAAAAGAAATTGCTGCAAGTATCATTGGATGGACCAAATGTCAATCTTAAATTCCTCAGAGATTTGAAAGAAAATTTAGCAAATAATGATGCCTGCCATGTATTACATATTGGGTCCTGTGGTT